GGTGCCACCCTCCCCCCCCCTCCCCCCCCCCCGCGCCTTTGCTGTGCCTGAATTGCAACCAACATCCACTGCTGCTGTGCCATGAACAAAGGCCTGGCCTTAGACTGTCTGTCTGCTGCCATGAACCAGGGTTTGGCTTTGGAACTCTTTACTGTTTGTTTGTTTGTTTGTTTGTTTGTTTGTTTGTTTGTTTTAACTGCTGCCATGCCCTGAGCAAGGGCTTGGCCTAGAACTGCCCTTTGCTTGTGGCCCGCCCTGAACTGAGGCTGGGCCTGTGAACTGCTACTGGTTGCTAACCCCGGACCGAAGCCGGGCTCTTGAACTAGTTACTGTTTATATTTGTTGCCAGCCCCGAACTGAGCATGCCAGGCTACATTGTTGTTTTGAGATACCATCCTTCTTAAATGCTAAAGACAATTTTCCTTTGGTCTCTTGCCTTACAACTGCAGCTCACTGTTTTGCTGGGTTTTTTTTTAAACTATCCGAGAATTTACATGGTTTTATAAGATGCAAGAATGAATCTCAAATCAGCTAAATCCCTATGGCAGGCTCATTTGCAGGCATGGGACGCTACTTCATAGTGAAATGTATGAAATTTGCACTCAAAGCAGGAATAAAACTGCTCTATTTCACAGTTTAATTAAGTTTCCAAATTTAGTACTCATACTTTTCAGAGGACAATTTCATTTTTTAGGTTGTTTCCCAGATGAATTTTTTTCCAGAACTTTATAGCTGATCATTTAAAGCTTGGTCTGTTATACCCAACAAATTAAAAAAAGCGGATTCTTCATATTCATCTGCAAGACACATGAAGTCAGGTAGCTTGAATCAAAACCCCATTCTGGGCTCCAGACAGATTTTACATCCATATAGCCCCAATAATACTGAGTTTTCACAGGAGACTTTGAGGAGGTAAATGCATTTGAATAGGTATGTGGAAAAAACATTCTTGCAGAAAATTTCAGATCTGGCTTTTGACCCAAAAGAGGTGCTCTAAGTGGGGTGAAGTTTAGAGATTTGCTATCATTTCCCCCTCTGTGAACTGGAACTGACTGGTTCCATGGGAAGAATATAAAAAGAAAACAAGTGAGGCAGCACTGTGCATCAGTGATCCCCTATTGCTTGATCAGCCCACCCTACAAAAAGTAATGCTGATAGGAGCTAGTCTTTGAGGGAGAAAGCAGGGAAATTATTTAAATGTTGTTTTCTAGGATTATGTGGGTCAGTATTAAAAAGCATCCACTTTGCATCTCACCTTGTTCTAATTTCCTCTAATTTGCAGCCCAGACTTCTTTCTGTGGCTTTTTAAAGGTTTTGCCTGTTAATACAATACAGTCAGCAGAAACCAAAGGAGAGCAGAACTTAATGGGTTTACAATAGCCTAGCCAGGGAAAAATCCTGCACTACCTGCTGGTGGGTGTGC